AGGGAAGCAGAAAGCAAGCTTGCTCCCTCCTCCCTGTGGCTTCCTCTCACATATTTATACATGGCTATCATATCTTCCCTCAGCCTTCTCTTCCTCAGGCTAAACATGCCCAGCTCCTTTAGCTGCTCCTCATAGGGCTTGTTCTCCAGAACCTTGATCATTTTAGTCGCCCTCCTCTGGACACATTCCAGCTTGTCAATATCTCTCTTGCATTGTGGTGCACAGAATTGGACACAATATTCCAGGTGTGGTCTAACCAAAGCAGAATAAAGGGGTAGCATTACTTCCCTAGATCTAGACACTATGCTCCTATTGATGCAGGCCAAAATCCCATTGGCTTTTTTTGCCACCACATCACATTGTTGGCTCATGGTTAACTTGTTGTCCACAAGGACTCCAAAATCTTTTTCACACATACTGCTCTTGAGCCAGGCATTGTCCCCCATTCTGTATCTTTGCATTTTGTTTTTCCTGCCTAAGTGGAGTATCTTGCATTTGTCCCCATTGAACTTCATTTTGTTAGTCTTGGCCCATCTCTGTAATCTGTCAAGATGGTTTTGAATCCTGCTCCTGTCCTCTGGAGTATTGGCTATCCCTCCCAATTTGGTGTCGTCTGCAAACTTGATGATCATGCCTTCTAGCCCTTCATCTAAGTCATTAATAAAGATGTTGAACAGGACCGGGCCCAGGACAGAACCCTGCGGCACTCCACTCGTCACTTATTTCCAGGATGAAGAGGAAGCATTGGTGAGCACCTCCTTTTTATACTGTTTAGAAGCACACACAGATTCATCCATATCCCCTCTTCCACCATCTTCCACACATACATATAGTGTACAGAAAAACACACTCAACTTCATTTCCCCCTTTCACTTTCTGTGAAAAAATAGGCAGAAAGAGGAGCTACTGAATGACCCACAACCACTGTCAAGGGACAAAGGATGGCATTTTGAGAAAGGTCCTCATGTAATACGTTGAACAAGAGAGTTCTTGGTCCTATGAGCTAAAGACAATGTGCATCAATAGATAAATTCATGGTGAGGGTGGCTGAGGTACAAAATGCTTCAGACTTCAGGAAATTATTTTGTAAAAATGTATGTACAGCGATTGTTCCAACACATCCAAGTAGCATATAATCATCATTGCGCCTACATTTTTTTTAAAAAAAAAATATCACTGTTTCTCCCAATTCAGTTAAATAGATATCTTTACAGACATGTGCTAAGAAGCAAAGCCTCCAAGGGGTACTAAAAAAGATATAAATTTCATAAAATAGTAAAATGCCCAAGGTGTTTCTGTGATGACCTTCTTTAGGTTTTAAAATAAAATCAGTTCTCCAAGTAAGGCAGGATCTCTATAGTTTATTACCAGCAAGACTGTTTTCTTCTAGCTCTGAAGAAGATATTCATGACAGAGTTGGGTATTTTACTATTTTATAAAGACATTTTACTATTTTATAAAACATCTCAGATTATATGCAGCTCTCATGAGTAGGTACCTTGAAGATGAATATATTTTTTTCTTACTGATCATACGTGTAAAAAAAAAGTTAAACTTTTTGTTTAAAAAATTATGTTGGTGGCAAGATACTGCACCCACTATAATGTCGAGTATATTGAAGAAGGATTTCCTCATTGTGGATTCCAATTTGGCGAAATAAATAAATTTGGGCAGACAATCAGAAGGGGTTGGCAAGCTATGAGGCAGAAAATCAATAAGCTGATTTTTTTTTAAAAAAATCATTTTTGTTGTGTGTATGTCAGCCTAAAATTCCATAGAATATCTCAAAGGCTCAAGTTAAAGTGCTGTTAAGTACACAGATGATGACAGAAGTTGAAACATTCACAAAAAGCAGTTTAGTTGACAGTTTTCAAACACAGTGGCTGCAATGGCTGGAAGAGGTCAGCAAGTTGGCAGGTTAACAAGGAGAGCTGAGCACCAAGGAAATAGACTAGTCCAACCAAAACTTCCATCTGTGTTGGTAGATGTATACAAATACATACACACCATTTTAAGGGAATCATGCCTCATTCTGGTGCTAGAAACACCATTTTAAGGGAATCATGCCTCATTCTGGTGCTAGAAACACAATATGTGTTTGTATTGTTGTATTTCAGCTAGGGCCACGGAAAAGGCCTGTGCCTAATGAGCTTTCACTAAACTAGATCAGCCAGGACAGAGAACAAGCACAGGGGTTGAAGACAAAGCTACAGAGGTTTATTCAGTTTGGCCAACAAGGATGCAAGTACAATGGAACCTATGTGTCCCAACTTAGGGGCATTTTGAATTAAGAGCTGTTGTCCAGCCTGGGTTTTGCTTTGATGTAAGAGCAGCATTTTTAGTTAAGAGCTACCACCAGAGAGAATGTCAGTGCCAGAGGGACTGCTAGCACCAGATTACAGTGCTTTAGGACCTCAAGGGAGCAGCCTCCATGCCTCGCACCTTGTGCTCTTGTCCATTTTGGGAGATTGATATCCACTATGTTCTTGTCCACTTTGAGGAACTTTGGGTTAGTTGATTTTGTGTGGTTTTTATTTCTGGTATGTTTGGCTTTGTGAAGAGAGTGAGAGAGGGAGCAAGAGAGGCTGAAATGAGTACAATATAGGGTATGCTTCTGTCTCCTCACTTTGTGCTTTATGTTTCCTTGCGGCAACTTTGTGCTTCTACTATTGTGCCACTACTTTGTGTTAGTACCATTTTAAAGTTGATCTTAATAATATTATTGCTATGGAGAAACTATAGGTGTAAGTTAACTAATCAGATGTAATGTTAATAATAACAACTATAAATTATATATAAGTTTAAATAATAAAGAGAAACAATGAACATGAAATTTAGTAATTTTCTTGTGCAACCAATATGAGTGAAATGGGAGGGAAAAGTATTGGCCTTTCTTCCCCATGCAAATTAAAAATGCAGTACAGCTAGAATGTATGCATTTTGTAAATTAAAATTTGGTTGTCGGTTTGTCTGGGTTTTTTTGAAGACTTAATAAATACAAAATGTTTTGTAAATTAACCAAATTTTCATAATAAAAATAAATCCTTCCCTCGTGGATATTAAAGTCCTTGGTGCGTACCATGCTTGCCAAGCTGCTAAGTACTGGGAAGATTAGAGTACAAAACCCTAAACTCTGAAATGGGTCCTTGCTGTTGGAAGGATCTACCAGGAAATAAACATGTGACTATTAAATGTGATTGAAAACAATCCAGATATTTTACTGAAATAAAACCAAAGAAAGAAGAAAGCAAAAAGGCAAATCCACCAGCAATCTATCATAATAATCCAGGTGTGACCTAAAATCTGCACAAGTAGATGGACAGTCTTGACAGTTAAGATCCTTCAGATGTTCAAAAGAGGAAAATTACATGCCCTTTTTGTTGCCCCAGTAAAATGATGCAGGGAGAAATGGCCATTCAGCAACACTCTGATGTTCATAGCAATCAAAATATAAAAAGATACAAACAAGTAGTATTGAAAGCTGCATTTTAATGGCTTTCTTACAGCCAAATGTATTAAATTATTTTCAGGCAAAAATAATATTAATGAAGTTTTAGATCCCTAGTTGTAAATTCACTATACAAAAATTTATTCAGTGGAATTAACCCACAGGATTTAGATTACTGATCACTTAACACTACATCTAGATATTACTGTCTATGGAATTAACAATAGGGTATTGTTGATGATATGCCTAAAGTCTGTGCCATGTAAGAATAAAAACTAATTTTGTTTGGTTTGACAGTCTTAATTATTCTAATAACTTATCAGTTTGAGAAGAAAAGTACCTCACCAAAACAACTTGCCACAAGCTTATAGGGTATTTTTGTTGCATTGAGTTTACACAAAGTAGAATACGCAGTTTATAATACAATTGCTAAAAAGCACATTTTAGCTAATGAAAGAACTATGCCAATTAGGGTAAATGTTGAAACAAATACATATATAAAATACATTAAAATACACACAATCTTTCATGTGGTGAAAATTCAAAGTCTTATAACATGATATGAAACAAGGAACAGAAGAATCTACAGGTAGGCTTGGAGAAAAACAATAAAATATAGGTGGAGGGATTCCCACATCCCTAGCCTGGATGCATTTGGCATTATATAAACATCAAATTCTATGAGGCTGAAAGCTATAAAGTTCACAATGAAATTATTGCTATTTTATGCAACTGTAAAAGTAGGCTTTGTTCCTACTTCCTGAAAGAGCTCTAATTTTCTATGATTATTTAGATTAGATGCATTCTCAACTAAGTACCTGAATAAGTGAGCTCTAAAAGGTTCCATAATGTAGTATTAGGACAAACAACCGTTATTGAGCAAGGAAAGTTCCTTGCAACTTTCATTCCTGCATGTTTTACCTGAAACTGATGTTTATTTTTTTATTGCACAGGTGGAGAAGATAGCGGTTCTAACTACTATTCAATAGTTGGTTATTATTGTATCCCATTTTAGGCTTTGCACATCTTATTTCCAAAAGTTTTATAATGGTGCTAGATTGTTCTAAAGAGAGCTTCTTCCATTAGTCCATAGGAAGCTTAGTGAGGTGATTTCTTCACATTGAACACAGAAGGTTCTCGAAACAGTGTAGAAGGATTTGAAATGGAAAATGGCCACTTTACCTTCAGTGAAGCAGGCATGTAGCGGGGGGGGGGGGTGACATGCTTCAGCCGCCCCCCCCCCTGAAATTCTCAGGGTGGTCCGTGAGAAGGCGTTACTGGTACATTATATAAACTGTCATGTTTATTCATATCATGATCTGATCACCCTGCTCAATATATCCCATATGCATGGGGGTATTGGGATAACGATACAAAAGGTTTGCTAGGAGATCCTCAGCCCCCCCCCCCAAATCAAAATCCTGGCTACGGGCCTGCAGGGAAGCCTTTACTAAACTGAGATTCCTTAAATTTGAAGGGCATCTTTGTACTCTACCTGTACTCATTTCTAAAATTCTATAAGATTGAGATGTGATTTCTTTTTCTCCCCCAGGTTATGACTACTTGTGGTTGGGACTTGTCAGTGCAGCATGGGGATGGCATGTCAGCTCTTCCACCATGAACTGAAAACAGCAAAAGCAACAAAGTAAGAAGCTAAATATCAGTCACATGAATGACACCTACATTTTAGTAAGCATGCTAAAACCTAGTAAGCATGCTAAAATAATTGCAGGTGCAAGTATCCCGTTAAGTAAAATGAAAATTTTCTTCACTTGACATGTGTGTAAATAAAGCATGTGGCAGCTATAAAAAGAACAGGAAAGAGCAAAAAAAAATCCCAGTTGTGAGTAATTTTGTCAGAAAAGTGGAAAGGAGAATGACGCCTGAGCCCAAAATAAGAGTACAAAAAAGATGAGTAGATCAGGAAGAGGGGGATAAGAAGGGCACAATGGGTACTGACTTAAAATATAGAATTGAAGTGCACATTGTCTACTCTGCACATGACAAATGGCTATAAGAAAATCCTTGAAGCAATCAATAAAATTAAGATAGTTCATTTTTTTAAACCTATTTTTATTGAGAATAAATTGACTCTGAGAGATTGGAGCATGAGAAAAGCTTATAAAATCATGATGGGTTTACATAAAAATTGTGGGAACAATATGAGAAAGAAAAGTAGGAAAGTAGAGAGATGGGGGTTGGGGAGTGGGAAGTTGAATAAAGGGGGTAATACCCAAGGGAATGGGAAGGGGGGGGGGAAGGGGAAAAAAGTTACATATAACTTCCAGGTTGCTTTAGGTTGTGATAACTCTTATTGTTAAATTTCCCATATGACTGCCATCTAATTTCTCTTTGTACTTTAGCCTTTAATACTTTATTTTATTTCCTGAATATGAATCTCTACATTGTGTTTTCTGATAAATTCAACAAATTTCTCCCAATTTGTTTTTTGTCTTTGTATATTATTGTCTGTTAATTTTTGTGTTAGCAGGTCCATATTCATTATATCCCAAACCTTCAGTAGCCAGTTTTCAATTGCCAGTATTTCTTTAGTTTTCCATAGCTGTGCCAACTTAATCCTGGCTGTCGTTATTAGATAAATGAAGATTCTGTTTGTGTTCTTTTCCATTTCAAAGTCCATTAAACCTAGTAAAAAATATTCTGGTTTGAACTCGAAACTTATTTGCAAAATTGACTCTATCTTCTTGTGTATCGACTGCCAGAAGGGTTTTGTTTTTTTACACTTCCACCATAGATATATGAAGGTACCTACCTTTTTCCCGCATTTCCAACATTTGTTGCTAATTCTACCTCTATTGATTTTTGCTAATTTTTCTGATGATATGTACCATCTGTAAAATAGTTTATACCAGTTTTCTTTACATTCCGTGGAGTATGTTAATTTAGTTTCTTCATCCACATCTCCTCCCACTCTGTCATGCTTATCATTCTACCTATGTCTCTTGCCCAATTTGTCATAACCTTTTACCTGTTCTTCTTCTGTTGACTACATTAATAATTGTTGGTAAATCTTTTTAGTTAATTTTGTATCTGTTTTTAGTATTTTATCCCAGAACCTCTCCTTTGTTTCAAAACCTACTTTACTGTCTATTCCAAAGTTTTCTTTTATCTGTCAATATTGGAACCAGGATAGTGTCGGGTCGATCATCTTTTGTTCCACTTGTGACTTCGATGAGGATTCTTGTCTGTCTATTTTGAGTAACTGTTTATAGGTCAACCATTTTTCTCTGGGTAAATCTCTCAGGTGAGTTGCCTCATTTGGAGAGAACCATAACAGGGTTTTTGTATAGTCTTTAGTTATATTTATTCCATGTTAGTATCAAAGCTGATCTTATAAAACGATTCTTATTTTTTTTTCTTTGTTAGATTTAGTTCATTGATAGGACAGATTTTTTTCTATCATGCATTGGGAAAGGGCTATCTATCATCTATCTATCTAACCCAGGATCTCTGTTATTTTAAAAAGTAATATTTCCAAACTATAGGTTTCACAGAATAATCTGATTTTCAGCATCCAAAAAAAAAAGCAACAAGTCAAGGAGAACCCTAAATACTTCCAATAGGTTTTGAATCACATCCACGAATGCTGAGTTGTTAGTTCCATTTGTTTGAGCTTGTTAAAATAGTAATCCTATTTACCAGACTGTTGTGAACATAAAATAATTACATTTCTGTTCAGTTTTAACAAATCAAATTTCTCAAAATGAAGAATGCCACAGTAATGGTAAACTGATTATTTTTCTCTTTTGGTGTAAATCACTTGATCTGCTCTCTACAATAATAGAGGTTATGTGAAGGTGTTTCAATTTTTAATGGTACTATATGAAGGTAACAGCATACTTGTTTCCCTCTTGAAAAAGCATTAACTCCCAATTAAATGGCCTTGGAGTGTAAAATCAGCTTCTTATTCTAGTTTTCTTAGAATTATATATCATTGCTAGTAAAAACTACTCATACCTGTAACTGTGCAATACTGTATACTCAAGAGAGAAATATATGCAAAATGAAAATGTGTAACATATTTTATTTGATTTACTCTGAATTCTCCCATGTATTTCCAGGTGGCAAAAATTGGCATTCTTGAGGTTTTCTAGGAATAAACCCTTTATGTCTGATTAAAATGCAGATGAGCTTCATAAACCGCTGTAATTTGAAAGGGCTGATTTACTGATGCAGTCTTCTTCCATCTGCTTCAGGTGTGAAGCTGGAAAGTATTTCGTTATGATAAAAGTAAATTTAATTTGGGTTCAGAATTCACATCTTTATGAGGAACATTTTGCACTAAATAATACACTAAACTTAAGATTCTATATCTAATTTCACGTCTGCTTCAATTAAGTGTCCAGTTAAATTTTGGGTGTGTTTGTAACAGAATGAATCTCCATCATGGAAGGTATTCCATATTTAATTTGATCTAATAAGAACTTATAAGATTGAGGGAGCAAGGAAGTGGTGTGGATTTGCATAATATATTAATGTATTTGTCATTGGAACATGTATAGCATAAGGTTAGTGAATAGTACAGAGTACAGAGCTGGTTAAGTGTTGCATCTTGAAATGCTGTTGGTCGCAAGTTTCCAGGAAAGAAAATGAACAATTGTACCCAAGAGACATATATACACTGCTATTCCTTGGTACCTTAAGAAAATAGTTGTCAGACCCTCATGTCAGTCTGAGAAACACTGTCTTCAACAAATTCAAGCTGTTGCTATGTAGACAAGAAATGAATATAACCCAAGCTTCAAACTCAATTTATTTGCAACTCAAGACTTTATATCTCCAGGGTGAAAGGAAATGTTTGAAGAGGCAATCTTTATTGTCTGCATGATATTCAATTTGGGTCTGGGGTAGGGATTTAAAGAGATTTCCATCCCCGCATAGTGGGGATGGAGAGGAATTTGCCTCCCCCCCCTCCTGAGGGAGAATGGTTGGTTCTGAGGAACCAACTAGAATAGGGGGCGTTGAGATATGGCCTTAGCTCAGCCCCCTTAGCTCAGCTTAGCCTGTTTGGCAACCCACCATGCCCACCCATTTGACAGTATATCCATGGTTGCCTTCTGGGACCAGGTAGGAATTCTTACCTCTCCTATGTTCTAGGAAGGTTTTTCGCCTGCTCTATACTGTTTTTAGGGGCTATCTGGGATGGTGTGGCATTTAAATAGGTTAGCATAAATAGAAAGGAAGCTCAGATATTTGGCGTACACCCAAGGAACCCCCTTCAGGGGTGAAGGTCTGTAGCTAAAACACTCACCTGCTGATCACTTGAATGGGGTGAGGTGGAATCAGCTGGCCTTAAATCGGTGAGAATCTGGCCTCAATAACTTCAAGGGAAGCTTCTCCAGGTTTCCCTAGAGGTTGCCCGGTTGTAACTTTACAGGGGATCCAGGTGTTTTGCCCAAGTCGCTGAGGAGTAGTCCAGGTATGGATGCTACCTCGGCTTTGCCCCTCACCAAGTTCATGACACACCCTAGGTAGGATAGCAAACATTACATAGGTAATTTTAATTGCCCAATTTGAACCCAAGTTATTGTTGTCAGTCTCCTTATTTCAGGGGTGGGCAGGCAAATCATTATATATCTTAAATCATAAGCAAGAATGAAAAAATAATTAATTAATTAATTAATAATGCCCCCTCCCAACAGCATCACAATTGTGCATTATTCAAAACTATTCATAGGATTGTGTGAAAAACATGGATATGAGAATTCATTTTCACAGAACACAGAATTTTATGAACAGAATGGAATGTATCTAAGTCGAAAACCCATTAAAAATCTTTTCTGCCCAAAAAGGATTTTTGCACAGAATATATTCTGTATTGCAGTGACTCTAGAAATCCTCATCAAAGCTTCATGATGCTTGAGGAACCATTTTGATCACTTTTAAAATATTTGTGAATATTCTTCCTATTGCTGGCCTAATCACATGCATTTTTAAAAATCTTAAGCTGATATAGCATGGGGGCCAAGTGTCTCAGCTATATACCAAAAAGTCCCCAGTTTGAATCTCACTTCCACATTAGCTAATTAAGTAGCCTGAGGTAAGCCACCTCACATTAATCCCAGTTTCAGTGTGGGATAAAACAATACAGACTTGATTTGCAGCAAAAGGTAGTGCAATGGTAGTTCTTCTTTGTTGTTACACCATGACTTTCAGTAATGCTAACAAGTATATACAGTAGTGAGTAGTCTTGTACATTTGTATAGAATTGCTATCCATTTCTGTTTGTTTCATTCATAAGGCCCCATTTTCATTTTTCATTGCATCTCCCAAAAACAGGCTCCTTTCTGAATGAGCTTTGTTGTTTTGGGTCTGAAAGAACAACAATTTTGGACCATTGGTCAACATGGGCAGTAGGCCTGGGTAACAACGGAAAAAATTGTTTCTAAAATCGATTTGTATTTGGGGGGTTTTTTTGTTTCGATATTTAAAATAATTACAAAATGTTCCTTTTAAAAAGTTCGATATTTACGAAATTTCGTAAATGGTAAAAAATTAACGAATCGATTTCCGAAACAATAACGAATCGATTCGTTAATGGCGGACGCGACCGCGAAATACGCTAAAAAACCTCCAAAACCTTCTGAAGCTTCCCTCTCCCTCTGTTGTTGACTGTTAGTGTGA